GGGAAGTGCGGTCTAATAGAAATGTTTAAGGCCATGGAGTTAGTAACTAGGGTGTGCAATAGCATAGAATTAGCAATAACACCTGTATAATTGTTTTTGTGATTTAGATGTTTAATATTGTGATATCATTGCTAAGGCAACAGGTTGCTTTTACATTCCCTAGTGCACAATGATGACAAAAGAGGGCATGTCAGAGAGCGAGAGCAGTGCATGGATTTAGAAAAGGAGCTACTTTGACAACCTCCAACAAATCACTTATCCTTACTTAACAACCCAAGATGACAATAGTTTGGTTCTAAACAACTGTAAAACATTTCATCTGTACTGCCACTGTTCTGTGTTTATGACTGACTACATAAGCCATACAGACCATCGATCAGTCTTTCAGTTTGTATGGCTGCAGAGACCCATAGATTAAGTGCTGTGGGTGTGTCAACCTAACATGCTGTAATTTTAACTCTCTTCCAGTCACATGAATGGTTCAACTTAGCGGTACTCTCATCATAATTGGACTTTCTTTGCTGTCTATCAAGCTATTGATGGAATAAGTTCTATCAAATTAATATTGAACATTTTTTGTTGCAGAAAGTTATTTTTTGGCAATTATCATTTTAACACTCACTGCTACATTAAATCAAACTGAAACATAACATAAGCGTCCTGTTGAGGACTAACTCCCTGTGTCAAAGTGTAGATTTATTTTGAGTTGTTCTTTTTTTGCATTGTCATACTTTATGCATTATTTCTTAAATTTAAATACCTTAAGATTTTATGAATTCCTGGTCCTTTAAATCTATATTTAAAAAAATAATAATAAATATAATAATAATAATAATAATAATAATAATAATAATAATAATAATAATAATAATAATAATATCATCATACTGTCCAGCATCAGATTCTGGCTCAGAATCTGTTTCTGTTTTTGATTGTTCAGAAAAGATAAACTGCTACTGGCCAGCATTGAAAAATGTAAACATTGAGACAAACACTTGGAATGTGTACACTGACTGTCCACCCATTACTATACTACCCACTATTGGAAAATTATTAACAAAAAGTTAGCTTTAGTCTGACAAGAGATTTACAGCATAGCAACAAAATATATATATGACAAATACTGTAAATGGTAAAACTCACACAAAAAGAGGAGAAAACATCAAATAAATAAAACATTGAAAAATAAAAACACTGCTTATAAATCACTGACATTTGTATGTCTGCACTTCCTCAGCCATCATCATTTCTTTATATTTTGCTACAAGGATGGGGAACATGTGCAATGATTCGTGCTCAGACATACACGAAAATACAGCATATAAGGCTAAAACAAAGTTTGCACATTTCTACCAAGCTTGAAAGTCAATATTTGGTATGTCCACCTTTATTCTTTATCACAGCCTGAACTTAGGCAAGATTCCTTGTTATTTCTTTAAGTAGTCTTCAGGAATAGTCCTCCAGGCATCTTGAAGGAAATTCAAAGCTCTTCTTTGGATGGTGGCTGCCTTTTGTTCTGTTCTCTGTCACACTACCTCAATAACATTGAGGTCTGGGCTCAGTGGAGACCAGTCCATGATTGATAGTGTTCCTTTGTGTGTTTTTCTATCCAGGTATGCTTTTACTGCAATGGTGTGTGTGTTTGAGATCATTGTTATGCTAAAAAAAAAATTAAAAAATGAAACTGTTCCCAATCAAATGCTTTCCAGTTGGTGCTGCATGGTGTTTAAAATTTTCATGGTACTTTCCTGCATTTACAGTTATACCAGTTTTGACAAGATCTCCAAAATGCTTTAAGATACTTTAGACAGCCACCCTTCCACTAAAACCATTTCTGACATGGCTTCAGTGAACAGTAGCTGAATCAACTGAAGCGCCAGATGGAACTCTCAGGTCTTGTGTCAGGTCTTTGTAGGATTTTTTCCTCCACGCCAAGATATAGTTATTTTTTCAGATTCCGATTGGGAAACTTTAATAATTCCAAAAAGGGCATTTTTCTAGCTTACCCACACACTCAAACTCACACAACCTAGTCTTATAGTTTTGGGCCAATAGCTCTTCGAGAATCACCTTGTTGGTGCAAAAATACAATTTTATGTCTATCAAACGGCGTTATCTTTAGATATTTTCACAGATTTGACTAAATGAATGGGAGCAAATTATGTGTTATGCAACCGGCTGCCACTAACCAAGCGTCTAAGGATATACTTGGTTGCTGGTTCTTTACCAAGCTGACAGTTTTGCGTAGACACAACACTGATTCATCCTTTGAGTTAGAAGCCTTTTTATGCTTGAATGATTCATAGGTCAATCTTAAGTTGCTGAAGAAACAAAAAAATATTCTGAAAATGATCAGGTACAAGGACTGAAAACGAGTGGGGGAAAAAAATCCAGAAAGCAAGCAGAACTATTATTGCTCAAGATCACTTCAAAAAAATTTACAAGAAAGTCTGGCTCCTTGGAAGCCAAAATATAAAGAAATGAGGACACATTCAAACCTTTTGCACAGCACTGTTACATACCAGAAATGTAATGATCAGAAAATTATATTAAGACCTGGAAACCTCGTCAGTCATCACTGAGCTTAGCTGACTGATGCCTGAGAAGAGGCTGTTAGCTGCTGGTTATGTAGAAATAACCACAGAAACCACCGCATCCTCTGCAGAAACGCCACAGAGCAGAAGTAAAGCGGATGAGTCGGTTTATTTACTAACACTGTCGCCATTTGTGGAGCAGCAGCATCACACCCAGAAAAGCTACGATTAAACCCGGGCAAACCTTCATAAAATGCCAGGTAGCAATACCACCACCAACCCATCCCAGTATGCCATACTGGGCAGCCCATCTGACTCCATCAGCCTCCCTTAAAACCATATTTACCCCAGTCAAACTTTCAGGAACCCACCTATTGTTGGAAATCTTGTGAGCGACACAGCCCCGTTTCCAGCGGTCAGAACCGGTGCTGATGTTACCTGCTATTGGCGTGACTGTCTCCTACATATCCCGTTTGTAGAATCGGTACCATGTTAGTTAGCGTTAGCTGTCAGATTGGACAGCTTCTTGACCTTAGCCTGACAACATGCTAGCTAGCTAAGTCAGCCAGACTCGTTTTCAAACGGCTTAGAGTTAAAATAAATCTTCCCGTTGTTTCATTTTCATGTCAGTGGTAAACCTCTCTTCTTCAACTAATGCTCCGAGTGTCGGACTCTGACGGTAAACACTGGTCTGACTCTGCCGTTTGAGCAGCGGTGCATGCTAACACTAGCGGCTAACATTACGCAGTCTCTCCGGTTAGAGAGGCACCGAGCTGTCACGATAGCTACTCACCTTCAGGAGCATCGAGTGGACGGGGAGCAGACTCCGCAGAGGTGTCGCTGGAGGTGCTTCAGAGACTGGAGAGGTTGATTAATGTCGCTCTACTGTAGCCAAACTCTTTAACGGCGAAGAAAAACATCCAGGAGGAGGCTAACGTCAGCCTGTTTGGATTCTACGGTTCATCTGCGTGATAATGGCGGCTTAGTGCCATCTTCAGGTCACAACAGGAATTACAGTTTCTTACGACCCTACTCGCAAGCTGCAGCCTTTTTTTTTTTCGTTTACCAGGATTGTTAACCAAAAATAAACTTAAAGCTTTATCTGGGGAAGAAACATGAGGAATAATCCTTTTATAACTGCTGCAAGCCAAACGTCACCACTAGTCTGAGGTTACATGAATTTTCAAATGGAGTGGCATACAGGAGGTGGGTTAGGGGGGCATATATGAATAGTTATTCAGAAATAAATCCAGTGCAGATAATTAATGTGGAACTTAATATGCAAATCATATGCATTATATTATTTAATCATAAGTACATTTATATTTTAATATTTGCGGTTTTACTGGGGTGATCTTGAGAATCATGACAAATTATCTTTGTTTCCTGTTTTTTGTACTTTACATTTATGTGTTATGTAACTGTTATTTGAATATATTTGGTATACACAAGGTTAAAGACAACTTGTAAAAAAAACACATATTAATCAAGAAATCTCATTCAAGAAATAACTTAAACTTTTAAAAAAGGGGAAAAAAAGAAATACGAATAGCGAGTTCTTACAAAAACCTTGAAATGTCTTTAGTTTTGACCTCAATTGGTTTCAGTTTCCAAAACAAAAAATAATGAGTAGACATTTTTTATTAAATTGGGACGTTTACATGACTGCTTTACAGTTATGTAAACTGTTGTCTGAACCTCTCGAACGCCTCTGGCAACAACAACAAAAGCAACAATAACAATAACAGTACAATAATACAATATGACTTAAAGTCATTAATGATTAATTAAGGTCATAAATACTGATATTATTTAAACATAAACACTTAAAGAACTAACTGACTGCAGATGCAATACTAACAGTGTTGATAAAACTGCAATTAAAGTGGATAAAAGAAGCTAAGATTTAAAAAAAAAAATCATGATATGGGGTGGTTATGATGAGATGATTATTCTTTAATGTGATGAATACTTTGTTTATCCCATATTTGGGAAATTATTTTTGTTACAGTAGTTATGTTCAGTAGTTATGTTATGATACTGTAAGCGAGGTGGGGACATAAAAAAGCAAACAAAAAAGCTGTCCCAATATAAATAACAAACCACAATATACATAAATATGAGTGACTTAAAAGGATGACTACATAAATTCGTCTCACTGTAAACAACGCATTAATAATTGGAGGCTACCTTCAGAACCCCTTTGAAAAGTAAAAAAAAAAAATCAAGTCGATCACGGTGATCACTGTGACCCTCATTCACACAACATTTAAACTGCCTCCTGGTAGGTGGTGGACCATTTAAAATACCTACTAGCATAGAGGTAGCAAGCTGATGGGAAAAGGCTTAATCGTTTGCCTAATTCCGAGTTACTTTAAATGCAACATTGTTTAAATCTTTCTAATGAAGACATGTGATTGGCTGTTAATTTTAAACATGATCAAGAATTAGCCAATCAGTGACACTTTTCTTGGTCGTCGCCAGCAACGAACGTACACTGTTTGTACATAGAGGAACTAGCAGTTTGGCCAGTCAGAGCCTGACAAAAGCGATTTTATAAAGCTGTACGTCATGTGCTGAGTTTCCACATCTGGTTTTATACGGCCCTAGGTAGACGCGTAGCCGTCTTCTGTCGGCATGAATCTCGGGTGAGTCTTCCTTATAACGGTAACGGGAGTTAGCTTAGGCTAACACGGGGGCTAATGTGTCGCAGTGAAATGAAGGGGATTATTTTAGCTTAAAACCGAAGAGAATCAGTACATAACATGACTGATTTTAAAAACACTACATTGTAGCAATAAAAGAGGGGAGGTCAACCCCCAAAGGTCCCCATGAACCTGACTACAGCCCTTACAAACAACTCAGAAAATTTCACCGTGAGACTGGTTTGCACCAAAACATCTTAATGTATTGATTTACGGGCAGAGGGTTTGGAGCCGTAAGTATAGTCGAACAATTAGAAGTTTGGTTCTGTACATCAGTTTTCAGCGTTTAATTTAGTTTTCCAGGTTTTGCATTAACTGTTTGGCAATTGCAGCCGTTTTTAGACACATTTTTATGTGCGCAAAATAAATTTGGCAAACGAACACAATTTTAAATACTTTGATGACAATCCTTTTCGCCACTTGAGATGCTCTGCAGACTTACTGCAGCCACCTTCAGTTTCTGCTAGTTTGTGGATTTCTAAGCCTTCAGTCTGGTCTTCAGTAGCTGAAAAGCTTGTTCTATTTGGGTGAGATCAGGTGACTGACTTGGTCATTGTAGAATATCCTATTTCTTTTCCTTGATAAACTCTTGGATTGCTTTTTTTGGTATGCTTTGGGTCATTATTCATTTGTACTGTGGAGCACAGTGTGATCAGTTCTGCAGCATTTGTCTGAATCAGCAGAGTAAAGCTTGGTACACTTCACAATTAATCCTACTACTTCTGTCAGCTCTCACATCATCACTATAAGATAAATAAGGATTATTTTGAACTGTGAATATGTAAAGCTTCTGTAGTACAATAATAAAAAATATGGAGTGGAAATTGAGCATACACCAACCACTTAGACTAGATAATGAGACTTAAATACAGTATCGATCTTTGCCCTGTACTGACTCATAAGATGTGATTGTGTGACGTTTCATAAATGGGACATGTAAGCGAAGAAAAACCATGACCCTCCTGTGGTAGGACGGTTGTTATTTGAGTGCTGTTTCAGTGATCCTGACCCCATATTTGGACTTGGACAAAACACACTTTGAAAAATGGAAGTAGAAACAGTTGGTTCTGTAGGTGCAGTACAGCTACAGTATAATTTTTGGTGTTTATTGTGTTTTTCTGTGCCCTAATCGATGTTGTGTTTGTGAACAGGGACGGCCTGCTTTTTGAACTTGAAAATGGAAAACCCAAGTTGATTTTGCTAAGTCATGGTGAGACCTTTAAGCTTTTATAATCTACATTTTAATCTTCATTTTGGATGTGCAGAAAAATAATGTTTTCCATCCAAATCTATCCATAGCTCTTTGAGTAATCCTGTTAACAAACGCAGTTAACTGTCAGTTAACCTTCCTGGTAAAGCTGTGTTTTGACACTGTGAAGATTACTTTATGTAAAATTCCTATTTTTGAAATTATACTTACTACTCCCATGTCTGTTCCACTGCAGGTGTTGATAAAAATCCAGCAAAGGTAGGACTCCAATTTAAAGTTGGGCTATTATATTCTCATGAAAGTGTGTTTATCCAAATACCTTTGGTGACATATTGTTTATGTTTCTAATAATCAGTAACAATTGCATAATGGTCTGTTGGCTTTATGACTGTTATAGTTTTGTCTGATCTGGTGTGTTTCCTCACAGCTGTCCTTCAGGCCTGGAGCAGCAAACATCCTCAGCTGCCGGCAGACCTCCTGTGTGTCAGATGTACAGGGGGAGGAGCGTCCACCCCGACAGCTGGCAATGAGGCACAGAGGGGCCAGGAGTAAGGCAGGAGGAGCAGGTGCATCTGTCACCTCCAATACTGAAGGGAAGAGTGCCAGCTTGACTTCAATAAAAACACATGATCATCACAAAGTTGGCATCGTCAAAGCTGTGGCCAAGGTAAGGATCTGGTTTAACATACCTGTAAACGTTTGGACACAGTTTCAAAAAAGCTTCTATGAAATAATAAAATGATAACATAAATTTTTTATTTGTTCCTCTCCGACTTGGTCCCACTCACACATAAAATCCAAAGGTGAGTGAGCAGGATATTGTTAGTCTCACTTGCTTTCTGTTGAATCTGAAGTTCTTCAATGGTTTGTGTTCACTTTTTTTTTTTTTACTGTTTTTCTTAACTGGCTGTTCTATTTATAGACATTTTTCCCAATTTGTATTGCTTTTTTTATTCAGTCTCCTACTACATTTTCCTTTGTCTTTGTTTTTGTTAATATTGTAATTTCTTGCTTTACTTTTTTCACTTCAGTTGTTTTGAAGATAATTTTCTTCTTTTTTTGTGATCTAAATGTGATCGACCTTCTTTTCTTCTTGTGCATCTAAAGACAACTTTCAGAACTCTCTGGAAGACCAGTTATGACCACTTGTGCCAATTTTCTTCTATACTTTAATCATAGACCTCAAACATGCACAGAGAGCAAACATCAACTTCTGTTTCAACCTGGCACAAATTTCGTGTGAGGGATCATTGCTGGTGACAAGACTCCACAGTTTCCAAGCCAGAAGGCAGCCCATCGAGTGAAAAGCAAGACTAGGACCATGCTCATTACATTTTTTTTCTCATGATTCACTGAATTTGTCTCCTAGGGTGAGATTGTCAACAGAGATTTCCGCTGAATGCTCTGTCAGATGTCCTGAGGCATCTGACAGACAGCATTTGGTTGAAAGGGTTTGAACTGTGGTGCCATCATATGCTGGCACACAGCACATTAAAAACACAGCAGTTTTGGGAGGGGTTTTTGCCACACCAACACAATCTTTGCTCACCAACTGTCTCACTTTCCAGATATATTTTCCTGTGACTTTGTTTACGTCATAAAAAAATTAAAATAAATTTCAAGGATCATTGCTTTGACATACTGGAGGATATTCTTATAAATACTCATGTACATATGTATATAAGAAGTATGTTTTGTATTTTTGTTCTGTTGATGCACTACTGGTTTAGAGTTATTACTGTCTTGTTCAAATATTTTGGGGTTCTTTGAATTCTATCACTTATTTGGATGCAGGCAATGGGGGAAGCAGCCTAAGCAGAAATTCCTAGATATTCGTCTCCTACCTACTTCATCCAGCTCCTCTGGGTGGGGAAACAAAGGCCCTTCTAAGCCTGCTGAGGGTCACGATCTCCCCAGCATGTTGTGGGGTCATCTCTTAGTAGAAAATCCCTAAAACACCAGTTGCAAGTGTTGTTCCCGTTATATGCCTTAACCATGGGTTCTTTTGATGTGAAAGAGCAGCAGGTCTACTCTGAGGTCTTCCTGAATGACTGAACATAGACACATTTGTGCAAAAATTAATTTGTACTGCTTGTATCTGCGATCTTTTTCATTCAGGCACTATCTGTAGGTCATCGTCAAAAGACCTACCTACTTAACACTTGGCTTTCTCCTCACCACAACAGGCTGTCCATACTGTGCACTATTTATAAAATAGGGTATTGTAAGTTGCCTTAAATTTAAAATAACTCTGTAACTGTCTCCCCTCAACCATTGATTTTCTGTCTTTCTGCTGAAGGTGAAGTCAGACAGGCAGAAACACAGTATTACTCTTGGGCCCCTGAGAGCCGGTGAGAAAACGGGACAAACGGGAAACACTAGGACTCGAGGAGCTGGAAAGGCAGGATTTAAAGACCCAGCAGCCAGTAGGGATGCAGCACTGAAGGACAGCATGGTGTGTCTGACCAGTGAGCAGCTGCAGCACATCCTCAGCACTGTCCAGACCTCCAACAACGTGCAGCACCCACCAGAGGATGACAAGACTCAAGGAAGCAATGGTAGAGTGGTGCACTGAGAAGGATTGAAGCACAGAGTGAAGAGTAATTTAAAAAGTTCATTTTTTTTCACCCTTTCAGGAAATCAAACAACCTCGAAATCTGGCTACTCACAGAATGGAGGAGGAGGAGGAGGCAATATGAGGGAGGAAGATGGAGGAGAAGCGGAGGGAGTAAAGAAAGGAGATGGAGAAGGAACAGATTCAATGGGAACTTCACAACAGAAAGGCAACAAGTGAGGAGCTTGTCACAGTTCTTGTAGCAAAATCAAATTCCTCTTGATGCATACCTGATGTAGATGGCAGTCAGTGTATAGGACTCTGGAAATTTAGATGACTCTTTAATTCAAGCATGAATATAATTAGACAACACAAATGTCACATCGCTGTTACAGCAGATCAAAAAAAAAAGTTTTTAAGATGTTGTGATGATGCTGTTGTTCTTCAGGTTGTCTGGAGGTTTGTTCAGCTGGCTGGAAGAGCGACAGTCAGACAGCAAGGCAGCCATGGAAGCTAAGAAGGCTAAGTGGAAGAAAGAACTCGGTACGTACAGTTAAAATCAAATCAAATCAATTTAGCACTTTTCACAGGATAAAAACCACAAAGTGCTTCACAGTAATATAAAACAGAAATACATAAAATACATTAATAATAAAACACACAGCACAAATCTAATTAAAAGCCAATCTAAATAAATGAGTCTTAAGTTACTCACACACGCGCAGGCATTTTAAACCAGTAATCCTCATGTATATTAAGAATGGTGACAGTTGGTGAACAGCAAAGAGCAAACACAGTAAGAGTTTAATTATTCTTTTATTTTATATTGTCTTTACTCACCTCAGTTGATGTTAAAAAATCAGAATGAGGAAAAATATCAGTGACTTTGCAATGCTGGTTTTGCTATTTATGAAACAGCAGAGAGGCGTACTACGAAGCAATTAGACACAGCTGTAATTTCTTTTGGGTAGCTGGCTTGACAAAGCTTAAAACCAAAGTTAAGAGATGACCATTAATATGATGATGGTTATCACTTTCTGCTGCACATTAATGGGGGTGTTTTGCTTGTCATTTCACTTTTCTTCTGCACGTAATTGATCGTTCTGCTTACTTAAGAATCCTAATCAGGGGAATGGGCAATAGACAAACATAAGGAATGTAAAATAATGAGACAGGTGCTGCATGTAAGGCAAGTGAGCAATGCTGCAGAAAATCATTACGTGTACTTCTTGTGTGCACATTAGAGCTCTGAGACTTTAAACTTGATCCATTTACATGGATCTTGTAAGACTCTTGTCTTATCAGGTAAAAAGAAAGCCACTTTCATAGCCTGAAAAAAATGTAAATTTAGTGTTTACACACCTCACTAATGTATGATTTTTACTTATTAGTTAGACCATCTGGATTTTCAGCACAAATGTTTAGATTTACGCTGAAGTATGAGGGGAAAACATCCAGCGAGAGGTCAGAAGCTAGACAGGATAGATTTCATTTACTCAGTCCCTTTTTTGCTGAACAGAGAATCTGCTCCAACCTACTGGTACCACAAACCAAAGTGCAAAATGTTTGTAGTACCAAGTCTGCAGATGCTCAGTCAGAAACAACAACCTGACTCCATGGAGCCTAACTTGCCTTGTGTCAACAGTCCTAGCTTCTGCTGGTGGTGTAATGTTCAGGGGAATGTTTCCTTGGCACACTTTGAGTCCATTAATGCCAACTGCTCATGATGTGAACACCACGGGCTCTCTGACTGTTGTTGATGACCATTTCTTTATATGGTCACAATTTAATGGCTCCAAGAGCACAATTACACCAGAGTGTGCATAATGAGTACTCGATGTTAAAACCTTTGTAGTGTTATTTAAGTAAGATTTTGACTTAAGAGACTGAGTACTACTTTTCAACACTTTTGAAAAACAGTTTTTTTTTGGTTTTGTTTTGTTTTCCAAAATCAACGTTTATTTTAATTTATAGGTAACCTGAAATGACATACTGATAGGTCAACACTGGCAATGACTCCTGTTATCAAAGAGTCAAACTGGTTTCATTAGACAGTGAGTGTTTAATCAAAGTAATA